ATCAATGTTAGCTGACTATTATTGGACACTGTAGCAAGATGCACTAGACAAACGAAAATTAACAGCAAAGCACTTTTAGTCCTGATGAACTCATGCAGCGTGTTGAAACAATTATGCTGTGAAATACATTCAAAGTTAATTTTATATTTCTCAATACTCCTACATGACAGTCAATATGAAATGGTATTTGTGTTCAGTTTGAAGGAGTCTATCGTAAATGCCAAACATTTTTCAGGAAGCAAAACTTTTGAAAACATTTGTTGTCAGGAGTAGCGTCCACCCTAGGCCCTCAAATTGTTTTTTATTTAACATTTACCATTTGGGGCTCTGTGTCCACTTTGCCAGGTTTCACTGCAATAACAAAAAAGAAAGAAAAGAGCTGATTACATCTACCAAGCTTTTAAAACCTTTATACAAGCAAAAATTAACAGTAAAGCACTTTTAGTCCTGATGAACTCATGCAGCGTGTTGAAACAATTATGCTGTGAAATGCATTCAAAGTTAGTTTTATATTTCTCAACACTCCTATATGACAGTCAATATGAAATGGTATTTGTGTTCAGTTTGAAGGAGTCTATCGTAAATGCCAAACATTTTTCAGGAAGTAAAACTTTTGAAAACATTTGTTGTCAGGAATAGCGTCCACCCTAGGCCCTCAAATGGTTTTTATTTAACATTTACCATTTGGGGCTCTGTGTCCACTTTGCCAGGTTTCACGGCATTAACAGAAAAGAAAGAAAAGAGCTGATTACATCTACCAAGCTTTTAAAACCTTTATACAAGAACACTCCGTTCTTGTACACTGTTCTTTTGTACCTGGTATTGTTTTTAATCTGAATTAGCAATTGCTGCTTGATAGAATAAATCTCAGGTCAAGGAGCACTGGGTGAGGCACTTAATAAGTTGAGCTGTGTTGAAAATTGGCAGTAATAATGGTGATGAGGGCATAAAAAACAACAGCGAGGCCACTGAAGGAGAGATGTAATAAAGAGGGAAACAAAAGAGCACTTTCAGCTTATGGTAAGTCACATATTCACCCCAGTATTCAACATTGTTATTGCTAGCACACTTTATATTTCTTGGCGCTTTAAAAAGAACCATTTACAATGATACAAGATCTTATTTAGATTTGGTTTGAGAATAACTTTAGGAAGGGATAGTCACTGCTGTTTTAAGTGCTTGAACTCATGTTGATGGGCCCATACAGGCTTCCGACTCCTAAGTAATCATAACCGCATCAAACACAAATCTGGTTACATTCCTGTTAAAAGATATCACTTTTCATAGCTCCTCCATGAATCCATTTGTCACAAATTGTTTCTGACCATGTAGATCAGTGGTTCTCAACTCACTCACTACCTTACTACTTAAAGTGGTAGTACGAGAAAATTGGTGAACAGGCTGGATTTTTAATGAAAAAGGAGACATGCTTTGTCACTTCTGGATTAAAATTACCTACTTGCCTGTCCAACCCTGTACAGCGAGCCGCGCAAGCGCAGCTCACCGTAAAGATCTGGCAATAGGCAGTGGTTAGCCCTTCCACCTAGCAGACTGGGGTCGTCAGTTGAAATCCCAACCATGTCGCTGCTTGCACGGAGTTTGCATGTTCTCCCTGTGCCTGCGTGGGTTTCCTCCAAGTACTCTTGTTTCCCCACCACACTCCAAAGACATGTTAGTTGGTTAATTGGCTCCTGTCTAAATTGGCCCTAGTAGATGCATGAATGTGAGTTAGAGACCTTAGATTGTAAACTCCTTGAGGGCAGGGACTGGTGTGACTGTACAATATATCATTTTATTATAATGCTGTGTAAATTGATAGCACTATAGAGGTACCTAGAATAATGATCGTAATAATAATGCCAAATATGACAAAACTGTGCAGGAGTGACATCATCTCCACCTAGCTGGTGAAAGTGGCTGGCATTCAATACCGGAAGCCGGCCACTCGAAGATGTCATAGGCTAGTGGGGAATTCCAGGACATTGCATTGCTGGAGCTGAGGTGAGTATGGTTCCGCTTTAAGTATCCCCACCAGGTCATGTTTTTAGGATCCCCTTCACCTTCCAAAGGTGCTTTTAAAGCAATTTTAATAGCTTGGTACTTATGAGGACTGCTTTAAGGGAAACATGGTATGATGGGGGTACCTAAAGGCTTAGTTGACCTTTTGGGAAAAATAATATATGCACATAATTTTGCAGAAAAAAAAAAAATAATGGACATTTTTCCCGCAGGAGCCTGCAAAGCATTGCACCCCTGATCAGTGGATCATTGGTGCAGTGTCATGCTCCTGCAAACTAGCTCTGCAGCTTTCAGCTCATGCCTCTGTACAGACTGTCAGTTTGAAAGCTATAGGACTTGTGAATGAACTATAAATACATGCATCAGCACCTTCTCAGGTCATTCAGATGTACAAGCCATTTGCTGCAGTGGCAGACAAGGCTTGTAGTTCTTTCGTCCACAGATTCCTGTGAATCTCCAGGCTCTGGAAAGACCCAGAGCATATTGTCAGGATCCACCCAGCTGCCTGACTGACAGCTGGCTCTGGCTCTTGGCGAACGGGCCGAGAGCTGAAACCAGCTGTGATTGCGCACTCCAGTGAGCGATCACATAACCACTAATCACTCAGTTCTCTGCTCCAAGAAGACTGAGACCTGAGTGATCCGCATATGATCGCTTAGTTCTTGGTCTCAGAGCTGGCAGGAAACAGCTGCAGCATTGCAATGATGCTGCAGAGTAGAGGTGTGTATGTATGTATGTATGTTTGTTGTTTTTTTTTAGTAACTTGTACATCTCTACAAATTCCGCTGAATAGGTTGGTAAACATGGTGGCATGCCAGGACTGCATGTCCAGCAACATTGTGGTTTTGGGAGGTCTGGAGGCTGTGATAATGGCTATGACCAGAGCAGTAGTGGTTCATTAGAGAACACACCTGTCATTGCATTGCTGCTGCTATATAGCAGGATTGAGCCATGCAATGTCTGTAGGCAATCAGGCAAGGTTTGATACAAACATTGATTATCTCGTTGCAATGGCATCTGGAAGTGGGTGGGATATATTAGGCAACAATTGAACAAGCTGTTGTGTTTGAAAGCAGAAAAAATGGGCAAGAGTAAGTATTGGGTGACTTTGACAAAGGCCAAATTATAATGGCTAGACAACTGGGTGAGAGAAACTCCAAAACTGCAGCTCTTGTGGAATGTTCCCGGTCTGCCATGGTCAAGACCCTCCCAAGGAAAGAAAATTGGCAAACAGGTCATGGGCGGCCAATTCTCATTGATGTACATGGGTAGTGAAGGCTGGCTAATGTACTCCAATCCAATAGAACGGCTACAGTAGCTCAAATTGCTGAATAAGTTAATGCTGGTACCAGTAGATATCCGAACACATTGCATCGCAGTTTGTAGTGTATGGGACCAGCCAGGGTGTCCATGCTGACCTGTGTCCACAGCCAAAAGTGCCTACAATGGGCATGTGAGCTTTAGAACTGGACCACAGAAGCAATGATGAATTTAAGAATGGCTTGAGAAACACAAGAAGTTTGAGTTGTTGACTTGGCCTTCAAACTCTCCAGATCTCAATCCGATCAAGCATCGGTGGGATATACTTGAAAACATGTCTAATTCTTGGAGGCCTTACCTCACAATACAGGACTTAAATGATCTGCTACTGATGGCTTAGTGACAAATACCACTCATACCTTCAGAGGTCTAAGGGAGTCCATTCCTCAAAAGGTTATGAGGTTAGACGTGTAGCTAGCACAAGAATCTTGGAAAATAGGTTTAAGAATACAGAATATGGAGATAATTGGTAAGCAGGAGGGAAGTGTAGGAGGAAAGTGATCAGTAAATGTCTGAGAAATGGACGAAAGTGTGCACAGTGGATGAGTGTATTACAGGTTGTCCTTTTCTATTAATAAAGTACACCAGAGGCAAGACATACCTACCAGAATTCTTAGCTGTACCCAATCGCCAGAACCATTACAAAGCCAACCTATAGTGTCTTGTTGCCTCATTCAGTTCAGTGTAATGTACAATCAGCAAAATGGGGAACTTCAGATTTTCATTATGGCTTTTTAAGAGAGAGCACAGACACAAACTACTGTATATCTCACATTGGAAGTCTTATGAGATATAAACTTCCAACATACTATTCCCAAACCACACATTCCCGAATAGTAGCTGTATCAGTAAGTGGGTGCTGCAGCGACCAATGACTGGAACCATTGATAGAGTGAGAGAATGTCATTAACTCACCATGGATTTTCAGAACGGGTCCAAAGTTTTATTCAGAAATCGCATCATTATAACAGAAGCAACCTCTCAGAGCTTCACAGGACCCCTTCATCAGGCTGGTACCTGTCTATCCGCTGTCTTCTTTTCTCTACTTCTGTTCAAATTGCTGAATATATAAAGCCTGTCTGAGAGTTCAGAAAAAAAAGGAGAGCTGAAGTTACACTCTGCAGAGCTCAGTGAGGAGAGCTCTGAGAGCTGATTGGAAGGAAGAGACACTCCACCCTCTTCCACACAGTGCATAGAAACAGAGCTGATACTATGTATCTGCTGGAGGTCCCTCCCCTGTCACCATTTTTCTCTTGGTGTCTGGAAAACTTTTCAGAAGTGATTTATGCTAATGGCAATAGTTAAAAACATTCTTAAAGTACACCCAATGTTCTTCTGTGTTTTTTGTTTCTAGAATATCTTCCCAGTTACATAGTTACTTTTTTTTTTAGTTAAAACATTCTTATAGCACAAAGGAATAAAACCACAAACAGAAATGACACTTAGCGCTCTGGATTGAGATACATTATAGTGGGATATGCTTTGTTCATATATCATTTCTGAGGTTTATAACCATGTTAAGGAAAGCCCCACCATATGTGATTGGAAATACGTGTGTGGGGTTTCCACTTGGTAACAAAAAAAAATTAAATACTTTTATGGGTTGTTTTTGTCCATTGTTTGAATGTAACATGTAATGCAGCCTTTTCTGTTTATCTCAGGAACAACTCTTAGAATCTGACAAACAGAACAGTCAGCTTTCTGCCGAGCTTACGAGCGTAAAACAGGTTGGTAAGCAGTTGTGAATTTCTGTCTAATTATGACTAATGTCTTCAGGAGCACTATGAAGCTGGGGGCAGCTTTACTATAGTGCTTGTGTATCATAGAAGAACAGCTGGATCAACACCGCGCTGAGTAACAGTCCACAATAGGGAGTTTAGACATCCAAAAGGCTGACGCGTTTCGAGGACTTGCCTCTTCCTCAGAGCCAACTGACCAAATGTCTGCTCCCTCTTTTATATGCTCACTACTAGTTAAACCAAAGGTCACATGGGCCGTCCTGGACACTCCCCTGTGCAGGTGGAGGAGTCACAGGGGCAATCGACATAATGTAAGTAAACACGAAAGGTCTATAAAAAATACATACACATATATATATATATATACACGCACAAATAAAACCATTGAAACTAGTGACAATCATAAAATCATATGAACCATAAGAAGTGTGCACAGTGGAAAATAAATAAATAAATGGAAAGTTACACATATATAAAAAAATAATAAAAATCCTTCCCTGGTGATGCACTGCACTGCTCGCCTTTAAATAAATAAATGGATGGATGAGCAACGCTACGAAGCTGCCTAGTGCTCTGCTTGCCATAGACAACCATGGGACATGGATTTAATATAGAGAGTAGATCTGAAACCCAGCAGAGACACTTATTAATTCATAGAGATGCAGCCTACAGGGTGTGTGCTTATCATTCTAGTATAGTCATATGATGAAACGTAGGTATGTGTGGCAATGTAGTGCACCATGGATGGATATGCATATGCAATACTATATACAAGAACAAAGGAGATAAATCACTAGTAAAACATAAATGTTGATATAAAAAGTTACAAACAACTTCTTAATATGGCTCACAAAGTTTAAATAAAATAAAATAAAATTAAATAAGTATTGTTATAATATAGTATAATATCTGGTAAAATGGTATAGTGTATGGTATATGTGTGCATGCATAGACATGGAAGCATAAGAAATATAAATATATAGGAAAAAAAAAAAAAAAAAAAAAAAAAATTTTATAATAAAAAAAAATAAAAAAAATAAAAAAAATAAAAAAAATAAAATAAATAATTATATAAAAAAATGTACAAAAGATGTATATATGTGTTATATATAAGAACTATATAAAAATGTCAAAGGCGCTATGGAACAAGCACTTGCTGGATAAGAAAGCAGTGCTCGAAGAGAGCTCACTGGACAACATGCGTGCGCACATGTGTGTGTAGCACATCCACATGAGCAACTGCTTTTAAGTAAAAAACATGTCTATACATACACACATAAACCCACACACACATATGGAAACTGAATTAAAAAATGGGTGACCAATGAATGACCCATAGACACAAGCGCATGGGAATGCGGTCATACGCAAGCGCCTAAGGGTGACACAATAAATATGAAGTGAGCAACCTAATGTGTAAGGATGCAGGGTAATGGTAGCTATACTGATGATACTATAGTAATCATAGCTGATGAAAATGAATATATCTAAAGCATACATCTGTAGTGGATGGTGTACCCACTATAGGTCACAAGGGAAATGATGGAACTAGCACTAAAGAGGGGGGGGAGAGAAAGGAAAAAAAAAAAAAAAAAAAAAAAAAAAAAAAAAAAAAGGAGGGGGTTTGGGAGAGAGACAAAAAGGATGAGAGTAGGACTCTAGGGAACATGTGCAGCTCAGCAGAAGGTGCCTATGCATAACGGGGAGTCAGTGGATGACCCCATGTATCTCAAGATCTTCATTAAGCCCAGTGGGTGAGAGGGAACCCAGAGTGAAGATCCAATAGGTCTCCCTCTTACATAGTCTTTGGAATTTTCTTCCACCATCTGAATCTCCTGTGATGGATTCAATCCCAAATACTTTCATGCCCGATGGGTCACCACTGTGTGCCTCCTGAAAGTGCCGTGGTACGGAATATTTGTTTTTGCCTTTATTGCTCTCCTTGTAATTAATGATGTTACATTTGTGTTCGCCAAACCTGACCCTCAAGGGGCGCATGGTTCGGCCAACATATAGGAGGCCACAGGGACAGATGAGCCCATAGATCACAAAAGAAGTACCACAGTTGATGAACTGCTTAATCTTATATGTACGGCCATTGGTGGCAGCCACCTCTTTCTTTCTGTGGCACATGTATTTGCAGGTTCCACAATTGCTCACACCGCATTTGAAACTGCCACTTTGATCAAACAGGGCAGACCAAGGATTGACCGTATTCCTGGCACCAGCAGGAGGCTTCTTAATTCTACTGGGTGCTATGTGACTCCTGAGATCCCTAGGTTTCCTGAACACAATTTCGGGTCTGGGGGCAAGGCTCTGACCAAGAACTGGGTCCTGCTTAAGAATTTTCCAATGCTTTTGGATGCTTCGCTGTATGTCGAAGGCTTTAGTATTGAACCTGGTGCAAAACCTGACCTGGTTATTAAATTTATTGTTGGGGTCTTTAGTGGCTTTTTTGGCAGCTGTGTGTGGTGTATGCAGTGGGACTCTCTTCATATTGGCCCCAATACTTCTGGTATGCTTCCTCGATGTGGACCTCACTGTAGCCTTTTTCAAGGAACTTGGTCCTCAAGATGGCGCTCTGTTCCTCATAATCACCTCTGGTGGTGCATGTTCTTGGTGCTTAACCTGCAGTACTGACCAAAAGGGACATTACGGATCCATTTGGGGTGGTGATGGCTACTAGCGTGCAAGTAGGAATTGCCTGCGCTAGGCTTAAAATGCGTTTTAGAGCAGATTGTTGCCAACAGAGCGCCATCTTGAGGACCAAGCTGCTTTCTTATCCAGCAAGTGCTTGTTCCATAGCGCCTTTGACATTTTTATATAGTTCTTATATATAACACATATATACATCTTTTGTACATTTTTTATACAATTATTTATTTATTTTTTATTTATTTTAATTATAAAATTATTTTTTTTTTTTTTTTTTTTTTTTTTTTTTTTTATATATTTATATTTCTTATGCTTCCATGTCTATGCATGCACACATATACCATACACTATACACTATACCATTTTACCAGATATTATACTATATTGTAACAATACTTATTTAATTTTATTTTATTTAAACTTTGTGAGCCATATTAAGAAGTTGTTTGTAACTTTTTATATCAACATTTATGTTTTACTAGTGATTTATCTCCTTTGTTCTTGTATATAGTATTGCATATGCATATCCATCCATGGTGCACTACATTGCCACACATACCTACGTTTCATCATATGACTATACTAGAATGATAAGCACACACCCTGTAGGCTGCATCTCTATGAATTAATAAGTGTCTCTGCTGGGTTTCAGATCTACTCTCTATATTAAATCCATGTCCCATGGTTGTCTATGGCAAGCAGAGCTCTAGGCAGCTTCGTAGCGTTGCTCATCCATCCATTTATTTATTTAAAGGCGAGCAGTGCAGTGCATCACCAGGGAAGGATTTTTATTATTTTTTTTATATATGTGTAACTTTCCATTTATTTATTTATTTTCCACTGTGCACACTTCTTATGGTTCATATGATTTTATGATTGTCACTAGTTTCAATGGTTTTATTTTGTGCGTGTATATATATATATATGTGTATGTATTTTTTATAGACCTTTCGTGTTTACTTACATTATGTCGATTGCCCCTGTGACTCCTCCACCTGCACAGGGGAGTGTCCAGGACGGCCCATGTGACCTTTGGTTTAACTAGTAGTGAGCATATAAAAGAGGGAGCAGACATTTGGTCAGTTGGCTCTGAGGAAGAGGCAAGTCCTCGAAACGCGTCAGCCTTTTGGATGTCTAAACTCCCTATTGTGGACTGTTACTCAGCGCGGTGTTGATCCAGCTGTTCTTCTATGATGTGCCTTGACTATATTTGTCGTTTGTGAGTACAACACCTACTTTATTTTTTTATTAAACATTTTTTATGGTAAAGATTAAGCCGACAACAGGCTTTAGCTGGTCCAGGCTCTGGAAGGATTCCATCTTTGAAGTCGGGATCCACCCAGATTCCTGACCAGCAGCTGGCCCCAGCCTCTCAGTGCACCGCTAGGAGCCTGAGTAAGCCGCTCCCTCCCCCTCCGCAGCCTGGCACTCCAGTGAGTATTGGAGGGGCAGAGCAGAGAGCTGGTGTTTGGTGTTTTGGGATATATTTTATGACAGAAATGAGAAAATATCGGTGACCGCACAGGTGATCAAATACCACCAAAAGAAATTTCTATTTGTGTGAAAAAAAGGATGTAAATTTAATTTATGTACAGTATTGCATGACTGCGCAATTGTCTGTTAAACTAGTGCAGCGCTGTATAGCAAAATAAATGGCGTAAATTGCAGTATCTATACCATAGTTTGTAGACGCTATAACTTTCAGACAAAGCAATCCATATACGTTTTTTTTGGATTTTGATTTACCAAAGACATGTAGCAGAATACATTTTGACTTAAATTTATGACTGACTTTGAGCTTACTATATATTTCTTTATAGCCGAAAGTAAAAAATATAGGTTTTGTTTGTTTTTTTTTTTTTACAAAATTTTCAGGTTTTTTTTCGTTTATAAAGTGAAAAATAAGAAGCGCATAGGTGATCAAATACCACCAAAAGAAAGCTTTATTTGTGTGAAAAAAGGACATAAATTTCATTGGGTACAGCATTGCATGACCGCGCAATTACCAGTTGAAATAGTGCAGCGCTGTATAGCAAAAACAGCCTGTTTAGGAAGGGGGGTAAATCCTGAGGAGGCCAAGTGGTTAAAAGATCGATAAACAATAACAAAGGGACGAAGTTTGCAGTAAAACAACCCATGCTTTCTTCTGCCCTTTGTGAAGAAATTCTCTGTTCATGTTTTTCTCAGGATGGATATTGTTTCCATTTTCAGATTGTGAAGCCCCTGTTTTCATTCTACAAACAAAACCTGTGGTGGCATGGTGGCAATCAGTCTTTTTTCCATGTTCCTTCTTTTTTTCATTTAATGTGCACTATGACCAAGGTTTGCTTTTG